TGTTAAATCAAAGCAGTACATTTTTCGTTCACAATTTTTGATATAATAGTCCTTTATGATCGCCTTGTGTCATACATCCAGCATCGAAGCAGAAGAATTAGTGGCTGACAAAGCAAATTTTGGGGGTTAAAAGATAATCAAACATAAAATGATAAGGTAGGCTACCCTTCAACAAGATGAGGATATTTGATTCTGATCCATGCAGCCAACATTCCACCGTACGATCCACCGAATGCGATTACGGTAGAATTGTGTGCATTTTCAAGTCTCTACAATTGCTAATTGTTGAATTAAAACACTTGTTTCGTGCATCAAACAGTCGATTCTCAGTGTACAATGAAGGAATCATGTTAAATTTTGTTGAATGTGCTGATATACTAATAAAAGAATGAAAAAAGCAATGAGAAATGCGATCGAAATGAGAATATTTCTGAGAGAGTACGCACTTCATTACGAAGGAAACGAATAATCTGCGCGAAATCGGCTAACGCCTGTTCCGAGGACAAATATCCCAAATTGTTGACATTCGCATAACTTTCGTTACCAAACGGTTGTGTTTTACCATAGAATCGATGTTCAGCAAACACAATCGCAGCACTGAACTCAGCGGCGATATCCCACATAAAACCCTGAAAAAATAATTGATTTCACCATTTTTCTCGATTTTCTAACAACAGAATACTTGTTTCCTTTCATCAAAAATTTATCCAATTAATAAGATTCCATAAGTTGGAGGTAAGAGCATCATAAATGAACATGTGAATGCCCACCGTATTGGTAGCAAATCCATCAATACTGCCTTCATTGCCGGTGTAGAAACAGATTGGTCCGTATGCTTTGAAATAATCAACGTTTATCAGATACCTAGAACGTGTTGATTCGAACAATAGTCAAGCAACTAAATACGTAACCTGTTTGATAATTTGTTAACATATCATGCAAATGATCGTTTTAAAGTGCACACAAAATCAGATCATCCAGAAAATCGTTTTAAAAGAAATTTATGAAATTTTGAATGATTGCAAACGCGAAACGATAGAAAATAAGTTAAACGGAAGCTGAATGCTGCTCAGCAGGATTATACAATTGGAACCAAAACTGGTGCAACAGGATAGAAACAAAATGAAGTGAATCACCTCAGACGAAATGTTCGATTGTCAGTGAATGAAAAGTGATCAATAGGCATTTGATCGAACCATTCTTCAGACCACTTGTAGTTAGGGGCACTGTATCCCTTCTGCAACGAATCAACAGATCAATCAGAATCTAGATGATCACGCCGTATGCAGTGCAAGTTCCCTATCTTTCATTCAGTTGCTACTGCGATTTTATCGTTGAAAATAATTCTAGTTAAGAACTAGTCAATGTCTCATCCTATGAATACGTTCATCTATCAGCAAATTCACGCTTTGCAGAATGTCTCCACAGAGAAACAGGCAGCTAAAACATGCTCGAAGATTGTTGGTAAAGTTATGTTTGAATTCGAAAATGTAGCAAATGTATTACTTTTAGCAAACTGTAGTTGGGATGGAACGATGCAGGATCGCGAAGAAGAATGGAACACACAACTGGTATAAATGAGCAGAATAAAAATAGTGCAAGTTGATTAGCGATACCGATGTTCATCCTCCAAACTTAAGCCTTCCACTTTAAACAACCTGAATAGTCGTTTCACTAATAGTTGTTTCATTTCGTCGTTTCACTAACGAAATTTCAATTTTACAGCGAACTGGAAAATGAAGACGAGAAAAAAACAATAACATCGACGCTTCATCCACCAAAGATTTTCAGATTCTGTGTCATGTGATCGAGAAAGGAGAGATGTTATTATTAGGATGCAAACGAACGGAATGAAATGGTAGTTAAAACAAGTGACGGTTCTATTCTATTCAAAATTTTCTATTTCAGTTCTATTCCAGGGAGTGGAATGAGATAGTTCTAAGGGAAGGAATAGAACAGCAATTTTTTATTACTGTTATTATTATTATTGTTATTATTGTTATTGTTATTATTATCGCCGGTGAAATCTTCACAATAATAATAGTAATGGGATTAGAGAGGAGAAAAGGTCATCAGTGAGAGGGGAAACAGTTACATTCAGCCAGGCTATAGCACGTATTTCTCAAAACCGCTGACGGCTGTCTGCGGGGCAATTGCTCAGGAAATCACCAAAGGATGCGACTGTGATTCTGAAGCAACACCCTCTTCTCTGTTTTCGATCATACTGAATTCTACGAGCATCCATTACAAAAATCGTTCACATTTTACGCCAACAATGAGAATTTATGATCGGAGGAACTTAAAGAAATCAACTCCCTTTCTAAACCGTCATTAAAGGAAACTGTGCTTCTGCTTGGGACCGAGCAGTTGGGTCGAATCTTCTCGATCCGACATTCGAGTTCAATCTGGCTCACCAGTAGTGGCGGACAATCGAAATGTTCACACACATGAAATGTTTTGATGTCAGGATTGAAAGACCAGTCCGCACTGGTCATAACGAGTTTGCATCCAAAGATTCGAGGTGCATGTGCCTGTGTTCTTCAAGAATGCTGGTTGCCAAAGCCCAGAACCCCATGTTTTCGGCGAATCATGACCACCAAAAGCGTCGACTCACTGTGTTTACCATCTCCGCCCACTCAAATTCTCTTCCGTTTTGCGCTATTTCCGCCAAAAACCACGTTTTAGCTTTCATAATTTTTATCCTGCTGTCGCTAACTAAACGAGGCATGAAGGGAACAGTTTAAACGGTAAAACAGAACAGAATAGTTTGAAAATTTGGGAAGCGAGAAGAGAACAGCCTTCAAAATATGAGGGTGTAGAATAGAACAGAACAGCCGAAGGGGTGGAATGGATCAGAGCAAACGGTTCTCAAAAAAAAGGGACGCGCAGAACAGAGCGGAACACAACAACTGAAGAGCGGAACAGAATAGAATACAATAATTTGCCAAAGCTATGGAAAGGAAACATCACTAGTCAGAATATATAACTCTTTGAAATCTATCTTAAAACGAAACCAAATGCCTGAAAAGTATTTAGAGGGTGGGGATGTTTACAAACAATGGGAATCTACATGAAAGTTCGAAGAACAGAAGTAATTGTTAATGTATATGTGTATGCATAAAAACTATACAGTTCGTTTTTCATTAATCATCAGTGGAACATTTGCGCACAAAAAAAGGAGAAATCGCATTTCTTGAAATCAGCAACAAGAAGGAACTGGAATGTTGCGAGTAGTGCGAGGGTTAATGAATGAAACAGCAATATTACAGGTTGATCAATCGATAGAATATAATGATCATATCGCTTGCAATCGTAACAACAACGGGAATGGATTGATAGATGAGGGTGAACTGATGTGATTAGTGATAGTGACTGTTTCATTTGTGATGTCATTCAGATTAATGGTTGTGAACATCCTCTGCCATATCAATCACTCCATATCCTCTCGAACAAAGTCTGACTCAACAATGGCGAGCTCAATTCTAGCATCTTCAAGACATGCATAATCCTGAACAATCGCATTCATAAAACGATCAGCCGAACGAACAAATACAATTGTCCTTTAGAATGCCTTCGAACCTCGTGAAAGCAGCAATTGTCCTGAACAAACGTGATGAAAATTTGAATCGTAAATACACATTAACGTAGATTGATCGTTTATTTGGGATTGTGCAACACGCTTTTCTAAAATCACTCTAAATTACAATCGCAAGATATTATAAACAGGAAATCCCTCGGAAGATATAAACCAAGTTTCATTGAAAAGAACACATGTAATTGCGAAATCCCAAACAATAACGAACAACTGACCATTTTGATGCACATTCATTATCAAACTATGACGATATGAACTGAGCTAGTGATAACTCATCAGTATTGTCAATCGAAATTCAGCATTTGCAACGAAATTTGCGAAAAACATTAAAGGCGTGTGTGTGTTAGAAGGTGATCAATGATGCTAACACAGATGATGAAGTTCAAAAGTTGTTAATTGATGAGCAGTATATCAATCTATCACTTACTGTTACTTAGCCGTCAAATCAATTCAAGTACTATCTACTCATCAGCACAGTTGAGTCAGCGTCTAAGCGTATCATCCAATAGATTTATGCGATTAAGAAATTCGAAATGAATTTCGCGATATCGCTTTGCCTTATGATAGTCAACGTTTACGCATCTTTCGACGGTTCTGGATTGGCTGACCAAGAGGTACGTTCGGAATTGATTGGCGTCTTGAGGAGTTTTAATTGCAATCATTACTAGTGCTATCATTATTACTTGAATATTGTTTTCATAAACTTTTTTGACATGCTGTTATTTTTATTCATACTTTCGTTATTCTTGTTATTGTAATAATCCAGTTGTTAGCGTGGTTAGGAACAATGATTTCCGCAATAGTTAGTTTTCTGTTTAGGATAAGACTGGAGATTAGGCTTTCAACTAACCTTAAACTGTCTTCTGGCCTGGACGAAAATTTATAGCTGTTGAATAAGTTGAATTTTCGTAGCCACGTTCATTAGACGCTTATCGCTAGGTGATGTGTTTTGCTTAGGTATGGATCGAATACAAGGACAATCCTGTCAACTTCAACATAATCAACGAAGCATTGCAGAGCCATTCAAACCGACATATCAATAGCACTCTTCAGGTTACCTCTCATCGCTCATTATTTTTAAATACCAAAACATTCTGTCCGTCTTCTTCATTAATTTCAGTTAGAAATCGTACGAGCTGAAGAAGAGATTCGTCGAGGGCGAATGAGCGTAACACTATGGGCACATCAAGTGTGGGCATTGCCCGAGCGGGTGCTTGATGGTGTGATTGATCGATTGCGGTTGAACGATCAGAAACAAATCAAGCTTCAGCTTGATCGCAGCACCAAATTGGCTTTATCACCACAAGCTGTATTCAAAAATGCTTTGTATTTCAAGGAGCATCACACTCCTTCATCGAATACAATTCTACATGTTCGTAGAGATGGTGTTTTCTCTCTTCATTCAAAGTTCACACTTGATATTCCTTGTGTGCGGATTGTTCCGATGAAAGCGGTTCGTTCATTTTGTCATTCCATGAAAGCGGTTCATTTGATATGATGACAATTTAATAAATCTGTCCTCGATAAGAGTTTTTGTGAATAATTGATCCCTGAGAGAGATTCCCATATGGACGAGACTTTAAAAGGTTAAGTACTGTAGCTGAGAGTTCAAACGATTATTTCACTTCACTTAAACTAGTTGTTTGTGTTATCAAGTTGAATATGCACATATTGTAATATTCTTCACTCATCGCATTCCAGTACTCATCTCATATCTACGGTATTTCGTGTTGATAACTTATCTCTTTCTCAGACATCGTCTTGAAAGTTCTTAACAGCTGACGGCCAAATTCACTTCATTTTCACTTTGTTTTCAATGATCATTTCTCTTGTAATCAACCAAGGCAAGCTGTTAAGATTCTTTATTGATGAATAGTAGTGTTGGGAATTTTGAAGTCTCAATAGAATTCACAGATTTAAAATTTTTTTGATTATTTTCATCGAATAGAATGAAAATTCGAACTTTTATAAATTAGCGAGATGACAGTGAGCTTCAGTTTTATATTATTGAAAAAAAGGACAACTGCTGAAACTTTCATAATATTGAAAAAAAGATAGGATTTGGAGAAATAACAACACTGAATTTAAGGAATACATCGAATATCCATTATGTGGACGAGAGATAACGTTAAGCAGGAGTGGTGGATACCGAAGTAGTAATGACGTTGTGTGTGAGATGCGGTTTGGAAGTTATATTCGAGACAGATCATTACTGCACTTGGATTGGGCATTCAACGCAATTGATGGGCATAGTTCGCCATGCTCAAATGAACTCGTACCGCATTGTTTAATCCAAGAAATTCAAACTTTCCGACGAGAAACGGTTCGATTTCCTTTTACTTCGATAACGCTTCCGACTGAAGGAAATATTTGCAATTATTGGTAAGAAGGGAGGAAGCAGGAATTCGATTGCACGACCGAAAGAATTCAATTTCGCTCTCTAAAATTCATCATTCGGAAGCGAAATGTTTGCGAGTTTGCACACTTTTATTATTGAATGTGCATAACCAATACTTTGAGCGGATTGAAGCTCTATCCGAATCATCTTTTGATCTCAATATCGGGGATATATCCCCTCGATTTTGATGAAACGATAACATGTTTGCTTCTGTGTGAATGCACATTTTACTGCTTTAAATAGGAAAGAAGTAGTATTCTGAGTTTTCTAATGTTTCCTTCAAAACCAACGAAGAGCTTTATCCTGTCTGAAGGAATCTGTCTGATGCATTGTTTCCGAGTTCATTATTGAGTCATTCATACTGTGCTCGAGTCATTCCGCAGTTATTTTCTTTAATTCTGATGAGATGAATATGTTCAGGAGTTTGTTGGTGAGGAATTCGACGAATTGATCGCGTGTTTTCTGCTCAGTTATCGTACCGCAGATCGCTGGGGAGGTGCATGATGAGTGTCGAAATATAGGAAAATCCAGTATTGAATAAGCTAAAGTGTTGACTGCAAGTGGTACAACTAACGCGGACACATCAACAATTAAAGCAGTAAATTTGAAATGTTGATAAATCGTGTAATGTTTGCATGTTTGTTTATTTGACTGTGTGCACGGATACATCAATCGTAAGCTTGCATTGTTCGGTATTGACAATACGAGCCATAAAGTTGACGTTAATGACCACATTGATACCATAAGATTCGCTCGTTCATTGTACTCATTTTGTCCGTAACTCAAACACTTTTGGTGGTTTATATTTTTTACAGTATTACATTCGTATTTACAGTCTCTGTCTGACACTGCTTGTGTCATCAATGTATCATGAATAATTGCATAAGTCAAATGTTTATTCAATCTTACAAAAAATACTATTAAATATTCATTGCATGTACACACACACCCTCGTTTGAACTGATTACATAACCGTTACCGATGTCGTTTTATGTGTATGCGCTAGTTTTGAAGTGAAATCATGACAATATGCATTGATGCGTTTAAAAGCCATTAAGCAATGGCTGATTATAAGGTACAAATATTGATGTGAAGTACCATTATCGCGGAATAAAACACACATACTCTGTTGCATGTCCACGGTAAGGTGAACGGCTTGATTTAGTCAAGCATAAAAGCTAAATGCAAAACTTTCCACGTCGCCACCATCCGTAGGCAAGACTTCTCAACCTTTGACAAACTCTTTAATGGATTCATTGGGCATGTTTTGGAATGGTTCTAGTTCGAACGATTGACGACTCATTTATGTAACCTAGTCATCATGTGTCGTTTAATATTTATCGAAGAAATTTCAGTGAGAATTTTCCTTTGCAACAGAATCATTTCATTTTCATGCAGCCGAACTCCATCATTGTACCTCTGTGAGACGTTTTCAGTCTCGCTCTCTTAGTAGAGTGTGCAATTTGCAGGGGAAATATTCTGTTTGAAAGCACTGCAGCTGCAAGTATGTTGCTTTCAAAAGTTGCATCTAAACGATAACTGCACCACTAATTTGAACCATTCAGAACCAGTGCAATAGTTTCAAACTGTGCACGCTCAGGCGTCGACCTGAGTGCCTGAAAGAAACGATTTGCACAGAGATTGTTTAGATGAGGACAACGCCGACGAGGATGCGTTCGTTGCTCATGTAGGCGCATTATAAATATTCATTCGCATTTGTGTTTGTATATATGAAAATAGAGTATCGAATAACAAATAAAATCAATTGTATAAATATATGAATAATATTGCAATCATATCTCCATATCTTCATGCAATGTATAAATATTATATAAATTCATAATTTGATTACAACCATATCGATGGAACAATGTATCGGTTTTCACAATTCGCAAGCGAAATGATCAAAACCCTCACTCGATACTGTTTTGTTCGCTTTGCTTGCGGTTAGTGCACTCCGTTGAATATCAATCACTCCATCCTTCTGTTCGTTTTTTTGTTATTGTTGTTATTGTTGTTGCTAGTGTCATCATATTATCGTTACTGCTGCTGCTGCTAATATTGTTATTGTCATGAATTCACATCGCTCAACTATTTTGACTCTCATCGTTTGTGCCATCTATCACCTCAATAACCAAGCTGTTAACGCACAACTATCTACTCGAGATCTGGACGAAGAAACCGCTGAAGGTTCATTTCTCACTATTCATTTATCTTTCCTCGCAA